TTGAACGTGGCGATATGCATCGCAGTTGTGAGGGATAAGCCACAGCGTAAGTGTTTTGAACGTGGCGATATGCATCCCAGTTGTGAGGGATAAGCCACAGCGTAAGTGTTTTGCACGTGGCGATATGCATCCCAGTTGAGGGATAAGCCACAGGGTAAGGTGTTAATTTTATGAAGGTTACTTGGACCAGACTACAATGCCCTTCGAGGACGAAGGCGTGATGCAGGACGGCCGAATGTTGGCGCTGGCAACACAGTTTACCGGATATGACGTTATCTACTCGTGCTAAGGGTCACAGGGTCGGGTAGAGAGTGGTCACTTGGATTTCGGCTGCGTTCCCGGACGGTGATATAACCACTAGAGCTGCTTGTCGTTATAATAGTCGTTAATATTCAAGTTCAGTAATATATGACAATAAAAAGCAACAAATTGTTATGAACAAAAAAAGAATTTTGCATATCCGTCTATATATTACAAAGTTATGCCCGAACATACATAAAAAAAATGTAAACATCCGAATTCATAACCTCCTTCTTTTTGAAGTCGTTTAAAAATACCTACTTTTTACTTGTATCTATGATTATAAAAATTTAATTATAACTTCTTATCAATTGACCACGACTACGTGACCCTCCTCTGGCACCAAAGCTGGATCCGCCCTTGACTACTTACGGGGGGCGTTCAGTGTATACTCGATATCACCTCATCATTAGATGAGGGTAATTAAATTATCTCATTAGTTAAAGACATTTTTTGAGAGTATAAAGATAAAACTTTATTTAATTGCCACCATTAAAACCAGTAAAAGTTCTTTATTCGTGGGGTATATGTACCGTGAATATGCAATGGTAATTTATATGGGATTATATATTATACGTTCCTACGTGACAAAATAAAAAACAAACATATAAAAAATGAATTTAATTGAAGTTTTTGGCCATATTGGTTCAGTTTTTCTTATTAGGCACCGCTCTTGATATGTTTTCATCATACTTGAAAATCGTTGTCAGATAGTAAAAATTGATGATTTTACTAGCACTCCTGGAATAGTGACATCTGGAACCGCAGGGTTCAATCCTCGGTCCTATATTATTTTTGATATATACAAATAGTATTAAAAGAATAGGACTTACTTAGGTGTCCTACCTAACTCTATACGCGGACGACACATGACTCTTTTACTTCGATAAATCCATAATATTATAGCTAACGCGGAAAAGATTTAGATATGCTCAATGAGTGGCTAAAATATAGCTTGCTGACAATCAATACCTCAAAAACATCATTTATGGTATTTGCAAAAAATAAAAGCATCCCAGAGATGAACCCATAAATAATAACATAATATTGCAGTCTAATGAAGAAAAATACCTTGGGCTGTTGATTGACGATAGGCTGTCTTGGCGGCCACACATTGAGCATATCCGGCCAAAGCTTATATCGGTACTAGGAGCATTACGCAGAACAACGAATTGTATCCCAAACCACATAAGGACCATTATATACAATTCTTTGGTAAAACCACACCTTGATTATTTAATCGAAATATGGGGATCAGCAGCTATAACTAATTTACTCCCAGTGCAACATACACAGAATAAAATTATAAAAGTATTATATAACTATCACTACCTTACACCAACAGTACAACTGTATAAAAAACTAAATTATTTAATCTATATATGTATATATATATATATATATATATATATATATATATATATATATATATATATATTTCTTCTTTCTTTCTTTTCTTATTTTATTGTTGTTTTGTTATGTACCTAGTTTGTACAATATATTAGTATAGTACTAATTTAATGTGACGTCACCCATAACGCAACTTCCTTATTGATATTTTATACTTTCATCTACCCTCAAAGTAATATTACTGCTTTTGACTTCCACAGTGCTCCAGAGGTTAAAATAAACTATATATCGTATGTTGTAAATTGTATGTCATTTTATATAAAACTTTGTGTTTTTATGAGAAAAATTCTTTAAACCTATTTATTTTATAATTTATGTACACAGAAAATTATGACGGAAATGTAAATACGTGAAAGAATTTGTAGAATGGCTTTGCTTATTTCTTAAAATTTCTTCCAGCAGACCTCTGACTGGCAATTGGTTTCTTCCGGTTTAGGCAATGGTTTAAAGGATTTAATGTTTTCTTGCTTGGCAGTTTTTAAAAGCTGCTTCATTTCAGACTAGTGTTCAGTAGTGTCATTAGCAATTTGCCTCTTAAAATAAGAGTACGTTCCATAGACCGATCAATTTTCATAAAGAAATCACAAAGCTCAATTGCCATTCTTAAACCTTCACCAAGATTTTTCAAAATATAAATGTCACGTTTCCCGTGCTTATAGAAGCCTCTTCTTCGATGGACTGCAAATTTAACATTTCCTTCAAGTCAGTTTCGTTGAAATCTTCATCTTGTGATTCAAGCAACTTCTAAATGTCAACCGATTCTTTTTTTTAAAATATCTTTATTCACCTAGACGTTTGCGCGTTCGTATGAAACGTCGAAATTTTACAGTGAAATTAATACGTTCGTAAGTTACCACCGGTTCGGAAAGCAGTTTCTGTTGAGAAGAAACCGGCAAGAAACTCAACAGTTGTAACTGTTGAGTTTCTATGGTATAATATGCTTTAGCCATAAGTTTCCTTTTAATTTTTCGTTTAAATACATCAAGCGGCAGACATAATATCGACTGTGGGATTTTAATATACATGCGCTCACTTTGCCCCATGAACGACCTATTTACTTTTTGTAGATGAAACAATGGCGTAGCTAGTTTGCCCTTTTTTCTAGTACTTAGTTTATGTCTTTCACTATTCGTGAGATAATTATTAATATTATGTCTAATATACAAAATATTACAACCAATATATTGAGACGCAATAGTGAGTATATTAATTTCTTTAAAATGATCTCCGAGTTCCGATGTTATAGACTTTTTTTAAGTGAAAAGTTGCCAAACGAGCAGACGGTTCACCTGATGTTAAGTGAATACCGTCGCCTATGGACATCTGCTATAATCGTATTGAAAATTTAATTTCACGTACAAATAAGTTTATTAAGGTGATGGGGGACTACATTGAAGCATAAATTTTATTCAAAATTTTCTGCTTATTCTTTCATGCATCGAGGATACATTGAACGCTCCTCGTAAGTAGTAAATTCTCTATCATCTAAGTAGTGGTTATATTCTCTTTGTTCACTATAGTTTGATAAATGTAGTTTGAATAAATTGGATGTGTTTAATGATGGGATATTAATAAACCTGATCAAGTCTAAATAAGAATACATTAGGTACCATCATCATATAGATTATAATTAGACGATCAGTAATCTATAATTACAATTTAATTTTGTATGCAATTAAACAAAAACTCGTAATTAAACTTATTCAATGAAGAACTTTCCAGTCGAGTATTTTCCTAGAATACTATACTAGAATCGATTACTTTTAGTGTTAGTCAAGCGAAGTTAAAAATAGGACCTCATCTGTAGGAATTTTGTAACTTGACGTCTCTTAGTGACGTCGAAAATAATATGATTTATTTTTATAGTGGCTGATTATGGTGTACCGCCAATAGGCTGTTCAATTTTTGCCGCCCCTACTGACCTCTGAAATTCGATACCCTAGTTCGCAATCATTTTAATTACATTCATTCTGTCAATAAAATTCCAACTTTATGACTCGTCTTCATTAAATCAGTTTTTTTCGTTATTAGCATCATTTTGAACTAGGGTTACTTTGTGTCAGTTTCTAGATTATTTATACAACCTGCGATTTAGTGCAGATTACAAAAAAATAGTTTTTGTGTATTCCTCGCTTCTATCCCCTCTATATAGGTATTTTATATGGATCTCCCTTTCTCTTAAAGTCAGTGCAATTTCGTGCAGTCAGCTCAATGCTTCCACAAAGCGTATATACGTAGTACAAACGTTGCTTAGTTTGGGACTAGAAAACGTTGTGTAAAAAGTTCTGAAATATTTATTTTTATTTATAATCGTGATAGTGAATCATCCGCCGCTTCACATGTTGTGCCGATCCCACCTTGGGGGGATAAGGGCAGAAGGATGATAATGACAGCTGCTCCTTCCATTATATCCAGCGGAAGTTCAACGGATGATTCAACATGTATGATGTATAGGAGCATCTACAAATATTTACTCATTGCTGCTTTGATGTGCGGTGAAATACCAACACGCTATGGCAAATACGAAATAACAAATATTTGTACAAATATTTTAAAAATATCCTGCACATAGAATTTGAGGAACTTTACAAACATTTGCACATAATTGTCTGGGACTGGCGTAAACGGGTTGCCGCGGGACACTCCCGCCGCCCGCGGTCCCGCTTGGTCCCGCTGCAAACCCGTTCGCGCTGACGTTAGGGATGCAAACGGTACAACTTCTTTCTCAAACATCGATATTATGGTTATGATCGATACACAAATATGTCGTACAAAAATAAATTTTAGTGCTGAAACATTTTAAACGTTTCTAATGCGGGTGGACTTATTAATATTTACGTACATAGAAAATAAAAACATACGGTAATGTTAAATTAATTAAAAAAATGTAAATAAAACGATGATCATGAAGTTCTTTAGAACTATTCGATAAGTTAAAGAACGTAAATGTTTTAATTAAATTTTATTCGAAAATAATTCTATACAGTAAACATTGCTGTTTTTAAAACAATAAATTTTAAAAACAGCACTAATTACTCTTTTTTGTTTTTAGATTATTTTTCGCCCTTTAGCAACAACGTGTGGATGTATTAAATGACAATATATAAAAATTACACATTTTAATCTGTATTGCTTTGACGCATCGTGGGACGCTTTATTTTACCCGTACTGTGCAAATTATTTTTTTTCTCTACAATTTCGTGAGTCTTTTTCTTCCGTAACTTTTGTGTTAGAAAGTGTTTTACGGCTTCGATCCTTTTTTACTAACTATTTCCCTCTTATTTCAGATAATGTCGGGCATAGCAAGTGCACGCTTGGCCGAAGAAAGAAAAGCTTGGCGCAAGGATCATCCCTTTGTAAGTATAGTTCTTATAGCCTAATAGCCTGAGGCATATTGTCTTACATTTTTTAACTTACTTTGCTCTGTTTTCAGGGATTTGTCGCAAGACCTATGAAAAATCCAGATGGATCCTTAAATCTCATGACATGGGAATGTGCCATACCCGGAAAAAAAGGGGTCGGTTATAGTCTGACTCTAGAACCTTTTCTTTTTTTATCGTTATTTACATTTAAGATTGCCTAAAATGCCTTTCAATAATTATAGTAATAAAATATTAATATAATTAAATAATCGAGAGAATGTACAATTTCCTACTTTTAAAAATAAAGAAAATGTTTTAATAAAAAAAATAAACGTTTTTATATGAATAAAGTAATCAATTATTCAGTCAGTATTATTATATTAATATTTCCTCTGATATTCATTAATTTAGTTTAATGGCTTACTTAACAAAAACACACATAGCAAGTTTTGTAAATATCATATGTATGAAACCTTTAATTTTCAGACACCATGGGAAGGAGGTTTATATAAATTGCGGATGATTTTCAAAGATGATTATCCATCTAGTCCTCCCAAATGCAAATTTGAACCTCCACTTTTCCATCCAAACGTATATCCTTCTGGAACAGTTTGTCTATCACTGCTTGATGAAGAAAAGGATTGGCGCCCTGCAATCACGATCAAACAAATACTACTTGGAATTCAGGATCTGTTAAATGAACCTAATGTCAAAGATCCAGCACAAGCAGAAGCATATACAATTTATTGGTTAGTAAAACAAATGTTTTGTCAGGGGAATCAAACTCCTTTAGACATTCCAATTCAAGTAAAATATAATTAAAAATGAAGAGTATATGTAGATAATTAAATTGAGATAAAAAGATTATAGAAAAAAGTTGATAGAAATGAAAATATCTTTATTTTGATTAATAATGCCTTGATTTATGTAACTTTATGAAAAGATTCTTTTTGAAATTAATTATGAGTGATAAGATTTAAAAGAGAATTAATTATAATTAAATGTAATGAAAATAATAAAAGCCCAGAATAATTACTGGTTTTTAGTTTTAAGTTCTTAATATTTTTTGTACTACTATAATATTTTTTTTTCAGTCAAAACCGATTAGAATATGACAAGCGTGTGCGAGCACAGGCCCGTGCTATGGCAGCAACAGAATAAATTTAACTCAACATCTCTTTAAATTTAGGCACCTTGGTTACAATACAATGTGAAATCATTTGCAGGAAGACATCTCATAAAAAGAAATCCTTGAGAAGGCTTTTATACTATGTTCTATGATATTTAGTCTCATACTAATTTTAAGTATTGTTAATGATGCTGCATATGAAGGAACAATTATTTTAGGGACAAGTGATAATATGTCATTTATTTAGAATATAGTATATCTTTCTCAATATAATTGCAATGATGTAACCATAGTATAAGTTTAGGCAAACATTGTTGAACTATTCACTAATGTTGATTTCAAATCACTGAGCACTAGTGCATAATTCAGCAAAATAATATTAAAATAATAAAAAATTCCAATTCAAGCATCCTGTATCATTTGTAAGTTTGAACATGTGTAAGTTTAATTTATTTGTAAACCATTCATATTTGTGATCATTCAGTTTTTTCTTTAAAGCAAGAATTTAATCATAAACAACAGGCTCTTAAAACATAAGCTAACATATTTGTATTAATTTTAAAATTGAAGTATTGATAACAGCTCTAATAATATTGGACTGCTATGTTCACAGATATGTTGAGAACCTGCATCATAATTTTAATCTATTTTTGTATTTTATGTTAGTCTCATCAAATAAACTTTTAAATCGTATTTTTTTTGCAATATTATCTAATTTTTTATCAACACACAACATTCTTGGGCTTTAATTATGTGTACGAAAATATGCGGTTTTATTGTTTTTTACAAACTGTTTAGAGCAGCCGAAATAACTTTCTCAGTATAAGTTGTTTTGTTTGGCATAAAATTCTGAGGCTATATTTTTTCTAGATCAGAATTACTTTAACCTATTTGATGGTTTACGGTATTCATAGATTAACTGACAAGTATCATAACAATTATAAGGTAGATAATCTAATAAGTAAGTATATGGATACTTGGTGCATTGGTGTTTAATGAAGCTATTCTTAAAAATGTTATTTTTTTACTATAAAACATTAAATAACGAAAATTTTAAATTTTATCTACAATACTTTATTTACTGAAATGTGGCTAACTGTTGACATTTGGTGGCTTAAGATGTCATTTTGCAGTACTACGCACCAGAGGAGCTATATCCTTACTAATATTATAAAGGCGAAAGTTTGTATGTACGGATGGATGTTACTCTTTCACGCAAATACTACTGAATGGATTTTTAAACTACAATAATATGCCTTATACATCAGAATAAGACATAGGCTATAATTTATATACATATTTTATGTATTTCTGTCTGAATGCTACGCCTTCAGCCTATTTTACGCAGACGTAGTCGCGAGCAGCAGCTAGATATGTATAAAAACTAGTGTGAAATATATGAACAGCTTTCAATATAACGATATTTATTAATTGTCATGCTTTTCGTAAAGAAATAGCCTTAATTAAAAAAATCTAAATTAGTGGAACGGAAGGCTTTTGGGAGCCGGCAGGAGGGAATAATTAAGATGCAGTACAAAGAACAAGCCGTGTTGAGAAAAACATAATCTTTTATTGTCACTCGTTGCTATAGAAATTTGTCAATAATAGGGTAATGCTAGACCGATGAGAGTAAGGGTGTAAAAGATAAGAGCGGTGCTACACAGTAGCAAATGAGTCGCCACATCACCCCCCTACGGAGAAAAATAAGTACACATTGAAGGCAAAACAAGTATAAAATGTAACAATCAAATAATTATACACTGTTATTATAAAAGTACAAGCAACATTATTTAGGATAATTTTTAACTAATGGAATTTTAATTTATACAACGAAAAAATAAACATTGGAAACTTAAAATTGAAAAAACTCTGCTTTAACAAAAATAACGTATTAAAAACTAGTACTTATAAATCTAAAATATCTTTAAATTTAACTTTGCGACCTGACCGGGTTGTTACAGGCTGGCTGTGCGGGCGTTTTAATGGGCACGGCCGTTTGGCTAATAGGAGGTGAAAGAGTCGGAAGGACTGGGGGCTCCGGTGCCAAGTTGTTAGGGGACGGATTGCCGTTTGGGTCAGGTGCAATATACGCAGGTTTTTTTCTGTCGATGCTAAGCTCAGATCTTCGGCCAGAAATGTCTAAGGTAAGTGTCTTTTCAGATCTCTTCAACACTCTGTAGGGGCCTGTATAAGGTGGCTGTAGAGGGCGTCGAACGGAATCTTCGCGAACGGAAAGAAGAACACGTGAGTAGCATCAGGTAAGTCCTTGAAAACGAAAGTTTTAGAATTCGTGTGACGTGATGCTGGAACGGGGCGAAGTTCTGCCATCCGTTTTCGCAACTGTGCAACAAAATCATCGTCCACGGTCTGAGGGGAATTGCTAGCCACCAGGAACTCGCCTGGTAGGCGTAGCGGTCCCCCATACAAAACTTCTGCAGCTGACGTTTTGATGTCATTTTTTAGTGCCGCCCTGATTCCGAGAAGAACGAAAGGTAGGGCATGGTACCAAGAACTCTTGTGACACATTAAAGCGGCCTTTAAATGGCGGTGGAAACGCTCTATCATCCCATTAGCTTGGGGATGATAGCTCGTAGTACGAACGCGTTTTGTGGCTCCTAAATCCATCAGTCTGTTGAAAAGTTGGGACTCAAATTGACGTCCCTGGTCCGTTGTGACAGTGATCGGTACACCAAAGCGAGCGATCCAGCCATGGGTGAATTGATCAGCGACTTCTACTGCGGTTATCGACGACATGGGCCAAACTTCGGGCCAGCGTGAGAAACGGTCTACTGCTGTTAGGCAATAAGTGAATCCGTTTGAAGAAGGCATCGGTCCAATAATGTCCAGGTGAACATGACGGAATCTGCCTGAAGGTGTGCTAATGTTGCCAAGCGGTGAAACGACATGGCGCGTTACCTTGCTGCTCTGGCAGGCGAGACACTCGCGTGCCCAGGAGCGGCAGTCTTTAGCAATGCCTGGCCAAACATAGCGGTCGCTAATGAGGCGCGCGGAAGCGCGTGCGCCGGGGTGGCTGAGACCATTTAAGCGATCGAAGACGGCTCGCCGATATTGTTTTGGCAAAAAGGGTCTAGGTTTGCCTGTTGACACATCACACAAAACGGAAATGTTGGATCCAGGTATGAGGGTTGGCTCTAACTGTAAAGAAGAATGGACCTTTACGGTTTTAAGTTCGTCGTCCGTCTGCTGAGCTTTTGCCAGGGCTGCGAAATCGTCATCGAGCGTGATAGCCTCAATGCGGGACATTGTGTCAGCAACGATGTTGTCTTCCCCCTTCACATGTTTGATATTAGTTGTAAACTGGGAAATAAACGTAAGTTGGTTAAGTTGAGCAGGGGGCAATTTTTCACGGCGTTGGACGAAAGCATAAAGAAGCGGCTTGTGGTCCGTGTAGATTGTCGCGTGTTGTGCCTCTAGTATATGCCGGAAAAGCTGTACGGCCGCGTACACTGCGAGAAGTTCGCGGTAATACGCGGGCCATGTACTTTGGCTCTGTGTTAGCTTTTTGCTAAAGAATGCCAACGGCTGCCAGCCTTGATCAGACCTTTGCTGTAAGGCAGCGCCGACATGAGTGCTGGAGGCGTCCGTGTACAACCCTAAACGAGCATTTCGTTGCGGATGTACAAGCATGGTGGCCTCTGAGAGACTTTCGCGACACTCGTAGAAAGCACGCTCCAAGTCTGCCGTCCAGGGCACAGCTTTTGAACCTTTTAGGTTGCTAACTGTTAAAAAATCCACAAGTGGAGCTTGCAGCTTGGCGGCTTTGGGAAGAAATTGGCGGTAATAATTTACCATCCCCAGGAACCGTCTCAAACCTTGAGCTGTTTTTGGGAAGCGATAACTCGCGGAGAGTAGCGATCTTCTCTTCAGGTGGGCAGATACCATCCTTGGTTATCTTATAACCTAGGAAGATTACCTCACATGCCCCCAATACGCACTTATCCACATTGACAACGACGCCATAGTCCACCAGTCTTTGCAGGATTATGCGCAGGTGTTTGGCGTGCTCTTCAGCATCCCGTGAAAATACCAAAATATCGTCAATGTAGGGAAAAGCGAAGTCTAGTCCGCGCAAGATCGTCCGCTCATCGATGAAACGCTGGAAGGTTTGGCCAGCGTTGCGTAACCCAAATGACATATAGGGAAACTCGAAAAGACCAAATGGCGTTATTATGGCCGTTTTGCAAACATCTGGACCAGCTACCGGAATCTGCTGGTAGGCCTTTACTAGATCTAATGTGCTAAATATAGTAGAACCAGCCAGATTATGACTGAAGTCTCCTATATGACGCACAGGGTACCGATCGGGAACTGTCCGAGCGTTTAAGAGCCTGTAGTCACCGCAAGGACGCCACATGCCATCCTTTTTGGGTGCTAAATGCAGTGGTGACGACCAGGGGCTTTTAGATGGGCGAGCAGTACCCGCCGACACCATGTCATTAAATTCCTTCTCAATTTTTAGCTTGTTGGGTGCTAGTCGACGAGGACGCGACGTGACAGGCGGCCCACTAGTTGTCGTTATATAGTGAACAGTGCTGTGTTTGATTTGACGGTCAGCTGTAGGTGGGCGCGTCACTTCCGGAAAGTCTAAAAAGAGTTGATTGAACAGGGAATCGCGAGACGGTTTTTTTTTTTTACGGTCCTAATACTTGGCTGCATTATATTGCGGTTACAACAATATGCGGATAAGTTTGTAAGCTCATCGCGCAGTGTGCCGCTACGGCAGTCGGGTAGGAGGTGGAAGAAAGCTAGGAAATCCGAACCGATAATTGGGACATCCACGTCAGCACAAATAAACTCCCAGCGAAATTCACGGCGCAGTTCTAAATTGAGGTTTTAATGGAGCTGCCATTTGCTGCATTGAGAGTAAGTCCTGTATTTGAGAAACGTCTTTTTATAAGTTTTCGTGGAAAACAACAAATGTCCGAATCGGTATCTATCAAAAAAATAATTTTGGTATTTTGATCGGTAATAAAAAGGCGTTTGCTGGACTGTGCGCGGTCGGTACTTGCCACGTCCGACCGCTCCCTTAGTTTAAAGGTTTGGTAGCTCCTTCAATGGTCCAGCCTTACCTGGTATGCATTTGCTTGCTTTGTTGCCGAAACGATCGTGGTACCAGCAAAGCTTCTGATTACGTGGGCGTGAGCGCGATCGAGAGCGGCTCCGCTTTTGATTAACGCGTGAGCTCCCAGATAGTTCATGGGTGTTTGTTCTGAGCGCTGAGACTGTTCGCGTCAATTCCTCGATCTGCCGCTGCATTGACGCGAGAGTGGGCTCAAAGGTATGATGCGCCGAAACCTGGCTCACGGTGGTAGGCCTCTCGGTCAAGTCCTGGATCTTCTGTGCGGCCAACACAATTTGAACCTGCCGGGGAAGCCGATTGGCCCAAATTGATCGCAGCAAGTCAGCGGGGAACGATTGCCCAGCCAGACTCTTCAAGTGTCGCATGAACGAAGATGGCTTGCGGTCACCTAACTGTTCCTTTTCTAGTAAGCGCCGCACCTTCTCCTCGAAGGAATCGGAGAATCTAGATATGATTGCGCTTTTTAAAGTTGTGTATGGTTGCAACTCGGGAGGATGTGTGATAATATCTTCGACCTCCTTCGTACACTCGGTATCTAAATGCGCCACGGCGAAATGAAACTTCGTCATTTCGACGGTAATTTGGTTAATGTGGAACTGCGCCTCTAGGCTAGCAAACCACAATGCGGGCCGATCCTTGCTAAAAGGCGGGGTCCTAATTGCGACCCTGTTTACGTAAATGGGACTGCCACCGACTAGTGCAGTAGCATCACCCTCGTTGCCAACGTGGCCCTCTGAAACGTTAGATTCTCCTTGACTCGCCATGGCTTAAAGGTAAAATCAGAAACGGTCAAATCGCAAAAACGCTTTACACATACACGCAGTGGAACAAATCGGTAAATACACAAACGAAACAATTTCAGTATTGCGCAGCAAACGTAATAATAAAATTGGTCAAAAAGTAAAGTAAGTCTAAATACAACATAAAATGATACTATCTTAAGTGTAAAATAGCACTAAACTTTCACTTGAACGAGTGTAAACGCAGCATCCGTCGCGAAGTATCAGTGGAGAGCTGTTAGTCACCTGACACAATGTTGCGGGTGATTGCCGCGCGTGGCGCGCTTTTCAACTTCCTCCTCGTCAAAGATGACGTAGCTCCGGTAGAGAAAGAAAATGGCCGGCCTCGATGCGAAAAATGCCGGCTCAGCGCTACATAGAATGGACAAAATACGAGTCCAATAGCGATGTAGATTATCGTAGATGCGTTTACAGTTGTTGCGATTATAGCTTCATGGTTGTTCTGTACAATCTCCCTCGCAGGCTATACCATAGTCTCACTCGCAGGTGGCTTTTCTAGTCTACCTAGCAGACTTCTCTGCACGGAGGGAAAAACAAAAAGAAGGAAGCGTACCTAGGCGGCGTCGCAGAATGGAACAAACCTCGATTATCGCGGAAATTGTTGTTTCCGAGTGAAACTGCAGAGCGTAGCGACGTGGGCTGCGATGTTGCGCATATTTATCACATCACATCGGGGTCACCAGTTTGGGAGCCGGCAGGAGGGAATAATTAAGATGCAGTACAAAGAACAAGCCGTGTTGAGAAAAACAATCTTTTATTGTCACTCGTTGCTATAGAAATTTGTCAATAATAGGGTAATGCTAGACCGATGAAAGTAAGGGTGTAAAAGAAGAAGAGTGCGGTACACAGTAGCAAATGAGTCGCCACAGGCTCCTTTTTTAATTTTACTTTCATGCAATAACAAATAACAATACATAGATAAATAAAATTCGCAATTTTCTCTAATAACGACATTTTTATCTAAGTATATCTGTTTCAGCTTCTAGGGATGGGCGAGTGAAATAAATATGCATAAAAATTCTCGAATAGTTAGTTATCCGAGTGAAAATATTGATATATCGTAATTTTTTACATGTTTGTTCATACATTCTCCCAAAACATACAAAGTTTGTTAAAATAGTACAAATTAATTACGAATAAAATTAAAAAAAGTAATGTGTAGTTCCAACTTAAATGTTAGTAAAAGCTACTTGGTTGAAATTAATGGTTTTAGTTAAGTTAAAATTTATTTAAACCAGTATTCATCAGATATCGATATCAAAAGAAACTTAAGTTTTATGTGCTCGTTTGTCAAGCAGCCTCTATCATCGGGTACTGTTAGATTCGTGGTCTAAGATTACTTTCGGTAGACACCGACGAAACTTTGTATTTAACGGTGACTTATGAAAAATTCAACCTAAATTTTCCGGATAACCTGATGTCTGAAAGAAAGGTTAATCCATTTTCTTTAAATGAAAGAAGCATGAAAAGCTAGCGAGGACCATGAAAAGAGTTACCTACATGCCCCTTGCGTTTCGTTTAGTACATTATTCGTACATTAAATATGAAATTACAGTTGCTTAAACATCGAATACCGATTTGTCGCGATTAAAAAGCAAAAAACCAATCCTGTAAATGATCATTACATAGTATAAAACAAAGTCGTCCCGCTGTCTGTCTGTCCCTATGTATGCTTAGATCTTTAAAACTGCGCAACGGATCTTGATGTGGTTTTTTTTACTAGATAGAGTGATTCAAGAGGAAGGTTTATATGTATAATACATTGCACCCGTGCGAAGCCGGGGTGGGTTCGCTAGTTAGAGATATTACAAGAAAATAGATTTTAAGTTAAGTCAATATGTACATTTTTTTGTTACAAACTGTAAAAGTTTACGTAAAATGTACGTACGTAAAATAAAATGTCAGTGAGTCTCGAGAGTGAAGCTTAAGTCCTGTCAAGTTGACTTGAGTCAAGTCCAGTCAACTGTCTGCTGCTAGCTGACCTGACTGTTGATGAGTGACACTGACAGCAGTCAAAGACTACTATTGTATACTGATGAATTGATGAAGTCCGTTACCTTACTAGTGCTTTGTTTATTTCGGTATAATATAAAATTATAAATAGGTATTTGTCTGTGGGTAGAAATTGGGAATTTGTGCTAAAATTAAAAATATTACGCTCAATTTCTCAACATATATAAAACCAAGTTAATTTTTGTATACATCATGGCAGATGATGAACAGGACCTAAAAGAGTACCGCTGGGAGACAGGTTATGAGAAGACTTGGTATGTATTTCATACAACTTTGCTTATGCATCCCATTTATTTTTAATATTCGATAATTAATTATTTATTAACGCTAATGAAGGGAGGCTATCAAGGAAGATGAAGATGGATTGGTGGAGGGTCTTGTTGCTGAATTTGCACAGAAAGCGGCGCGGAAATCGGCAGTGCCTAGAAAAGGCCCTGTACGATTGGGAATGATGAGGCATTTGCTTGTGGCCATTGACTGCTCTGAGGCTATGAATTGTCCCGACATCAAACCCATTCGCTTTTTATGTACATTGAAGGTAAATCATTTTTATTTTATATATGATTCCTTTGTTGCTACATGCACATAGTTGTTTTAATTTTCTTAATATATTGTTTACAATGGGGCATTTTTCTTATTCAAGTATTTTAATCAATAGATAAATATTTCCACAACAATAAGTACAAAGTTAAATTTGGGGAGACATTAGATTTTGAGTAAAAACAAATTAAATAATTTTCTAAGTCAAATCACCTAATTATTGGGGAGCTACTTAATAAAAAATGTAGACTTAATGAACCTAACCTATGAGTTTGTAATAAGTAGGTACTTCTTACTCTGTCAAATTTAAAACTCTCCATTTATATCAGTAAAGTTATGTAAAAGGTGCAGCTTAAATCACTTATTTTATTATAAATAAAGTGTAACCTAAGGCTTATTTGTATTTTTGTTTTAGCTTTTAGAGAAGTTTGTAGAAGAATTCTTTGACCAAAACCCACTGAGCCAACTTGGTATAATAGCAATGAAAAATAAAAGGGCTGAGAGGTTAACTGAACTATCTGGTAATGTTAGGAAGCATATAAAAGCTATTCAGAGGTATATTTTTCATCATTCAGTTTACCAGAGCATTTTTTAATCAAATCTTGTTTACATCTGAATGTGTAAATAATGGAGGAAAAAAAGTATAAATTAATAATCAATAACATAGGACAATTTCTTTAGTGGTATTTTGAAGCAGGGAATATTTATTTTACCTAAAATTTAAAATGACATTTATATTTTTGATTTTAATTTCTTCACACATTATTTATAATTTGTAATCAATATATTATTTTTAAATTTTTAATATAAGGTGAAAAACTAGTTGACACTTATTGTCATTAATTATAATGATCTATTTGGATTAAGAAAAATATGATTTTGTTTATATAATTAGTCAAAAAGTTATTTAAAATAAATCAATTTTACTTTTACTTTTGCAGCCTGTCCAATTTGGCACTAGTAGGGGAGCCATCCTTGCAAAACACTCTTGAATTAGCTGGAAGGATACTTCGACCACTTCCCGGCCATGCATCCCGGGAGCTACTTGTTCTCTTTGCATCTCTAACTACTTGTGATCCGGGCGACATTATTCCGACCATCCAGGTATTGGTCATGTTTTTCATCATAGTAAGTAATTAAATTTAGTAAAATTTAATAGTAATTTTCTTTGCATTACATTAAGTAACTTGAAAGCAGCTATGGCCTAGGTCTGAAGTAATTTTATATTAATTTAATTGTTATCATTTAATTTTAGTGCGTCTCTGCATCTAAAATAAAACTAAAAATTTGTCAACTCTCCATGCATATGCTTAAAGAAGCCATACTACCCAGGGGATGGCGCGTCCATTGAGGCTATGTTCGAATCATGAGGTCAATTACCCTACTCTCGGTTTTGGTTGGCGACCCCTTTGCAACCTGTCAGGTGGTGTAGATGTCTATGGGTGGCGATATTCACTTAAGATTGGGTGAACTGCCTGGCAGCTTGCCGCACCGGAGGTCGTGAGTTCGATTCCCACACGAGTATTTTTGGTGCCGACATGTATTTATTTCGGATCTGGGTGTTTGTCCACATGAAATTTATACATGTAAAACATGCTTACAATAAAGGATAATGTCACCCTACAGTAAGGCTGCAATGTTTTCGAAGAGACGATTACAATAGATCTTTCTATGTTCCAGTGGTTGGGTAGTAATGTCTCAACATTACTACCCAACCCTTTTGTCACAAAACAACACAATTAAAATTTTTATAGTGCTAATGCGATTTCTGCACAACTAACATTTAAACAAGAACATTAACTACATCACTAAGTTAAACGGCTGATTGCCACACCAACGAAAATCTCGACATATTTTATTTGCATTGTTTTATTCGTATTTTAAGCATCGCATCTATTGTTATGCCCTTTACAGCACACAAACAATTTGAAATGTCGTTTAACAACGATAACTCTAGACGACGATGATGAGAGATATCGCTATTGTCATTTGAAATGCAAATCTTTTTAGTGCTTATCTCTGCACTTAAGATGAAAATTTATTTTCGCATTTGGATTCCCGCAGCGGGGAATGACTGTAGGATGGAAATTAGTAATAAAAAAAACTTCCTTTTGTTTACTAAAGTTGTGTACTTCAATGTACCTCGATATCCGGAGACTTTTGATACTTTGAAACCCATAAGAAACAAACTCATACCATTTTTTTTCATGTGAAAAGTTGCCAAGCGAGTAGCTTGGCCTGATGTTAAGTGAATACCGTCGTCCATTGACATCTACTACACCTGAGGGTTGCAGATGCGTTGACAACCTTTTGAAATAAATTGGGCTCCGTCCACCTCACAAACCAAACGAAACGCGACAGTGTTATACTTCCACTTGACGCCGGTCTTCTGTGAGGGCGTGGTATTTACCCAGACGCGAGAGCCTGCCCATTCGTGCAACAGCCGAGGCTGCTGCGTGACCCTACCACCGGCACTACTACATTTGGAAACACAGAAGAAATTCCCTCGTCCATTTCATACTATACAACTCCCATTTCAGACGCTGAAGGCCGACGGCATACGGTGCTCCGTGATCGGGCTGGCGGCCGAGGTGCGCATCTGCAAGAAGCTGTGCCAGGACACGGGAGGCGAGTACGGCGTGGTGCTCGACGACGTGCACTACCGCTCGCTGCTGCTCGAGCACACCTCGCCGCCGGCCCGCGCGAGGGCGCTCGACGCGGGCCTCGTCAAGATGGGCTTCCCCCACACCGCCCCGCCCAGCGCGCAGACGGACCCCACCGGCAACGCCGACCCGCCGATCACCGTCTGCATGTGGTGCGCCCGCGTCCCTCTTCAGATATGACGCCGCGTCCCTTTCGAGAACTGACCCCGCGTCCCTCTTGAGAAATGACCCCTCGTCCCTTTCGAGAATTGACCCCGCGTCCCTCTTGAGAAATGACCCCGCGTCTCTCTTGACAAATGACCCCTCGTCCCTTTCGAGAACTGACCCCGCGTCCCTCTTGAGAAATGACCCCGCGTCTCTCTTGACAAATGACCCCTCGTCCCTTTCGAGAAATGATCCCGCGTCCCTTTCGAGAAATGACCCGCGTCCCTTTCTCCGTCATCGTATCAGCTTCATCTGTGTGGAAGTGACTTCATTATTCATGAAATGTGACATTCATTGCTATTTTAATTAAAAAACATCCTTTTTAATGTCGGGCGGTAGATTTTGACATAAAACCTTGTAGGTAGGATAATCTTTTAAAAGCGAACAATGGAAAAATTCTTTACATATTACTTAACTTACAGAACAAAAATCCTTAGAAACTGGTAAAACAATCATTTGAAATTGAATGATTAATTAATGATTAAACTTCAACTCACTCTGGGTTGATTAAAATCTGGCCTCAGTCCCGAGACGATATTTAACGATTAAATAAAATGCCCACACATAGCCAGAATTTTATTGTGTTTAATCGGTACAATCGCCATACAATGTACATGAATTACGGTATTTATATATGATATCAGCACTGCTGTTCTGAGGCTTATGCTGCTGAGACGATCCCTTGTGATTTTGCTTTGATATTAATTCACTTTATTACACTACTACATACTTTAGTAAAATATATTTATAATATTTTAGTTCAAGTTGTATTTTATCAATAGTAAATTAATGCTTTTGGAAACATTGTGTATATGAACAGATGTAAATGTACCACTTGCGTGTGTGCGCGTGCGCGTGCTGTGACGAAATGAAATGTTTTGTATATTTTTTACAGTCATTTGGAAGAGGGCGAGGGCGTGGGAGGGGAAGGGCACCTTTGCCCGCAATGTCGTAGCAAGTATTGTTCGCTGCCGGCTCAGTGCCGTACTTGCGGCCTCACCTTGGCCTCAGCGCCACATCTGGCGAGGTAGGTGCCCAGTTTGAAATATTAAATTTTCTTCTCAATTCACACATGATCTGCAAACATTAACCTATCGAAAAAAATAAACTATAACACTTTCTATTAGATCGACTAGCAAATCATACTGTTCAAGCCAACAAGAATTCAACCAATTTACGCGAAAAGTATTTGAATGTTTTATCAAAAGATTTTTTATATATTTTTACCACAGATCATATCACCACTTGTTTCCCGTGGATCCTTATGAAGAGTTACCCTATGAAGGCCAGGCCCAATGTTGTTTTGCATGCATAAGAAATTTCACGGAGCTTGATAAACAGGTTTGTGGTTGTTGATAGTTGATGTTGATTAGTTAGTTGATTCGGGCAGAGAGGTCAAGAAACTAAGCTTCCAGCTTGAAAGACCCTACCTCTGCATTGGTCATGCATGCATTAACAATATGTTAAATAATCTATCATAACAAATAATGCTAAAAGTAATAACTATGTATTTATTATTTCTCAATGGTAATATTTATCGGAACACAATAGCTTTCTTATGCCGTAAACTTTAATGATTAAAATAACATTTAATGCTCATGTTTAAGCCAATTGACGAAATGTATACAAGTAGAATAAGGCAATTTTTTCTTAACAAAATTCCTTTAGAAATTTCTTATATAGAATTTATGATTATTATTTTTAAAGTGTTATTTTAGTTTTCAGTTGCTTCGGTTATTGAGAAATTCGATTTTCTTTTTATATTAAATTTTTCACAGTGTTATGAACATAATCATTAACATATGCTTGGTGAATGTCAAACTTTTGAGTTATAACTTCAGACTTGATTGCAAGGGTGATACAATCGGTTTGTAGATTCTCAAAATCAATGAATTTGCCAAGTGTCACGTGTACAGTGTTGTGGATTCGATACCCGCATCGGATATTTGTGAGATACATACAGTATATGATATAGTTGCATAACTCTAACATAGCTCTCTTTACTATTCGCGTTTACTGTTAATTTGTCAATTTGTATTTGCTCGGGGAAGTGTACACGAAGTTGGGAATGTTAGGTATGCACTGACAGTTTCTCTGTGACTGACGGCTGTCCAGGTGTTCCGTTGCGGCCGCTGCCGGGAGTTCTACTGCTGGGAGTGCGAGGGAGTGATCACCTGCACGCTTCACGTGTGTCCTGGCTGCGCCGCCCGGCCCCATCTCTACCAGCGGCTGCCTGAAGCTAGATGAACCTCCCCAACCCCCCTTAACCACTTCTTCTGTTCATACCTCCACACCATTGAACGCCCCTCAACCAATGCTTCTGTTCATACAAATGAACGCCCTCAGACCACTCTTTTTCTTCATACAATTAAACTAATTTAGGGACAAATTTTTGCACAACGTACACAAGTACCAAACTTAAGCAAAGCTTGTACTACAGGTACTAGATGTAAGTGTATATGACGAAAAGTTGCCAAGCGAACAGGTGGTTCACCTGATGTTAAGTGAATACCACCGTCCATGGACATTTGCTAGACCCGAGGGTTTGAAAATTGGCCTCCGGCCACCTCACACACCACACGTAATGCGAAAGTATTATACTTCCACTTCACGCCGGTCTTCTGTGAGGTCGTGATACTTACTCGGACGAGCCTACCCATTCGTGCAGGCTACTGCGTGGCCCCACCGTCATATATAAGTTTCTATTGACACTGATCTCCGTGGTGGCTTTTCCCCGGACGAGCCGGCATATTCGTGCGACAGATAGCATTATCCACCCAACGGGCGTCAGAAGGAATTATTAATCTAAGTGTCTAGTCTGCCTTTTAATAAAAATTAATATACTGCCACTAGTAGTAAGCTAAGATTTATAATCTTTTTCTGCCGCAATAGATAGAAGAAGAAAGTTAGTTAATCAATAGTTATTGTATATAGTTTAAAAAAACTATAATTATTGGATTGTGATAATAAGATGTGAATCTGGTAATAAAACGAAGAGCAAGAATGACTAATTTTTGATTTATATTTAGTTTTATTTTCAACGATGTCTTACTAGACTCAGGTAAACGTTAAACGAATTTCTAGAAATGTTTCTGAATAAGACCTCTTGGTTTTTCTTGTAAAACTTAATTAGTCTACTTTAACTTCGTCACACAATTTGTGCAGCGAATTTATTTGGTCGAATTTAAAATCATTTTCTTTTCTACAAAAATAATACCCAATGTCTTTTGCTTCAAAGATTTGACAAGATCACATCGGAAGGTAACCTCTTTATTCCAGTCAAAACGGGACATTGATTTACAATGAAAATAAACATTTTAACTTTTTAATTTTCTTTATTCCGATAAGATTAAAAATTAAAAGATACAAAGAAAAAATCATCAGTTAACTATTTTTTATTAAAACAACTTTGGTATGTTTTTAAATATTTTTATATTTCTTAGAGGAACAAATTTGTTTTAATAAAGAAGGTGACGATTTTAAATAAGAATAAAATTTGGCACGTTTCTTTTATGTTGACCTTTGTTATCAGCACCACCTTCAGAACTGGAGCTGTTCAATATCACAAGCACCACTATGGGAAACACTAAACTGTGCGACACGTCGCATCTGATATCCGAATGAGTGTTAATTTGCTCAATACATGGATATTTTGTTTGTAGGTTGACATTAAATGAACACTTTGGTTTCGGCATAACTATAGGAAAAAGTTCAAAACAACAAAACTTCAAATTATCTACAAAAATATTTAGCGAACATTACACAAAAACATAAAGAAGTCAGAATACATACGCATGGCTAGCCTCGTAAAAGAAACAAATGCCCCCTTCCCTCTCCTCCTCACCGCGTTACTAGGTAACCGTGCATGCGGGGAATAACCGATCGCGGTTCCGCGCTGCTCATGATCATGTCTGACGAGCGTGGGTTTAAAATTTTGCACGGTTTCGGAAAACGGGACAATTTTGCGTCCCGAAGATTTGTTCGGGGACAAAGGAACAGCTGTCCAAAAAAAGGGACAGTCCCGTTCAAAACGGGACGTGTGGTCAGTTTAATCATAACATAACTGATTTAGAGTACTCTTCGTCGGAATTAAATTTTCCAACGTATTCTAAACGTATACACGACACACGTTGTCCTGTATACACGACTGTATCCGAAAACAAATTTACAAATTAGAAAAAATGTGGACCGAGTTGTGAATCTAAACCATTCACGAATCGACCTGGAGACACAAAAATTTCATTAAAATCAGTCCAGCCATTTATGAGGAGTTCAGTGACAAACACAGTACACACGTACAGAAGAATTATATATATATATACAGCGTGTCGTTACCACCGCGAAAATAAATGAACACACGTCTAACGCTACTTACCAATAATCATAAAAAAATATTAACGTTAAAAAAATCCATAATTAAAAAAAATATTTTTAAAACAAACTAAGTAAAAAAGAAACAAAAGTTGTAACATCCTATACAACTAAAACTGACTGATTCATACATTCAGAGACTTTTTCATTCGTTGCCACAGCGTCGCATTACAAGCCTCTCCTTCTAACAGTATGTTTTGTCTCTTTTAAATTCATTCAACCCATTCATATGCTTTGTGACCTTTACAAATGAACTTTATGTTACAGTTTTATACGTAAGGATGTTCTAAAAGATTCTTTGTTTTGGAAAATTTAATAACTTGGTAAATATTGATGTTTAAAGAATGTAAATGTTTAATACAATTTAAAAAAGTTATCCTCTATATGTGTGTTCATTTATTGTCGCGATTGTAAAGATACGCTGTATAAAGATAAAGAATTTAGTGAAGTTCACACAAACTTTTCTCAATCATTAAATATATAATTTAGTTGTAAGGAACAAAAAAGCATTCTTTCTTAATACATAATATTTATTTTATCATAATTTATAACATCAATGCGTACTTACAAGAATAACTATTCTCACGCAAATACACCAAAAAAGCACATTCGAAAATCGATGGTTTGTTATATACAATACGGTCATTGTAAAATCACAGATAAAAATCTCATTGCAATAATTGCAATTGGAACTCCATAAATTTGTTTGTAACAATATATTCGTTACATAAAAGGGATTAAAAATATATAAATAATATTATAAATATATTTGTAACATTCTGACAGAGTGTGAAATTCATTACACATTCTATCGGGAGGTAAACAATACTTATAAATAATTCAACTGTTGTATATTTCATACAAGCCATAAACAACGATATAAAGCTCAATTTAAAATATTGTTTTATTTAATCTGTGTAAATTTCTCTAACAGTCTTCAAGCGTTAGAAAGTGAACTGCTTGTGTGCGCCACATCACAGTTGTTTTACTGCAGACATATCATATATGCCATTACTATAACGTTCTTTAGTCTAATTTACTAGCAACCCTGTCGGCGCTTCATTGGGTAGATAAAATTTTATCTATGCGGGTATAACCATTAAGCGTTACACTAATTTGAACTTATCGGTCGTTACGTAAAATACACTTTTAAACGACGCAACAAGTGCAGGTCATCAACGGACAACGCTCGGTTCGCCTTAGGCGTGTCAATCTTACAACAATCTACAGTCTACGGAGCACTGTCATTAACAATATCATAACGCGTTTAATACTTATTTTCTCACACTCGCTGTCCGTTTGACGCCTTCTCGCGCGTCACCCACAGTATGTTCGGCTTCTGGTAGTACTGTTCGATCTGCAGCAGCGACTTGCCCTTGGTCTCCGGCAGCAGCAGGAACAGCACCACCGTCGCCAGCGAGGCGGCCGAGCCGAACACCGCGAACACGCCCGCCATTCCCACGCCGTTCTTCATCACCGGGTACAGCTTGGTGAAGCCGAACAGCACCGCGTTGAACACGCAGAATATGTAGCCGCCGCAGAGGCCCCTCACCTTAGTGGGCAGCAGCTCGCCGATCATGAGGCCGGGCAGCAGGAAGAAGCCGAGCGTGTTGAACGCGACGTAGCCGAGTATGAGGACGGGCGTTATGAGGCCGGCGCCCGAATCGCCGTACAGCACGGCGGCCAGGCCGAGCGTGCACAGTGCGGTGCCCAGCCCGGACACCATCACGAGGGAGCGCCTCGTGATCTTCAGCAGGAGTATGCAAGCGAGCACGGTCATACCGAGACGCGTGCACGCGCTCGCGTTAGCCACCATCTGCACCGGTAGGGAAGATAGGTTAAATTAAAGGAATAGGAAAAATAGAGGAAAAGTAACCTAACAGCCTGTAAATGTCCCACTTCATTAGCAGTTAGCACGAACAAAATTGTTAATTTCAAGTGCTGACATAACGTTCTCGGCACTGAAGGACAAACAACATCGTGAGGAAACCTGTGTCGGCCATTTCGTCCTCAATTATGGATACACTATGTATTGACTGTGCTTATCATTTCGTACAGTGCAAAATGGTTATTTCGTAATAATTAAATTTAACGCAATTTCTTTATCCGGTCAGTTAAAAATTTCATTTTAAAATCTCCATTTTGTGTTACTGTTTTATTTTTAAAATAATGATATATTATAAACATGAAAGTTTGTGTAGAATTGTTTATTTTGTAGCAACGGCTGAACAGAGTCGTATGTAATGCAATATAGACCCTTTTGATCTAACAAAAGCACATACCTACTGCGATTAAAAATAATACAATGCAAAAACACAATTGACTGTATACAATAATAGAACAGTCGAATTACGTAAGCGAGCTATCAGAAATAATCTAATAATGAGATTATACAAACACATGTTATAATAAACAATTGAATGATCAAATACTGGCGTTATGATTGTTGACGGCAGAGGTGTGTCCAGTTCCAGTATATAATATATGTATCATCCATTTATGTGTCTTCAGTAACAATAAAATGTATAATTGAAAGTATAAGTCTGACATGAGAGCAAAAAGCGTAGTGAACTACTATGTTCCCCGTATGTATGATATATTGTTAGCAGCAAATTGGGGCTGAAATCAAGATTTGTTTCGGCGATATATTTAAAAAAATTAAATTTGTAAATGAGCGAAGGAAGGTATTTTTTTTAATACAACCAAAATACCTGTTACCAAGGTATTTTCTTATTTTTAATGAAAATAGAAAGGTGTACATAAAATCTGAGTAATTTTCGGTTCCATTATCTGCTGGCTTTTTTTTTTGGTCTAACGCTGATTTTTACGATATAAATTCGGTTTATAATATATTATGAGTTACTCACGTGAGGATCTAACGACCCGCCCGCTTCCTTCACGATGTCGACGGCGTAGAATATGACGATGTAGCTACCGGACAGTATTTGAAGCATGTTGAAGGCGTTGATCAACAGCAGCGGCTTGAGCACCGGCGCCCGGGCTACCGTCGCGAAGAACGGCACGGTCTCCTCCCCGCGCGCCTTCTCTTTCTCCCGTGCCGATATCAGTTCGTGGAGCTCCCTTTGCGCCTGAAACGCAAATGCTCATACAGAAAATTGATGACTCCGTGGCGCAGTGGCCAAGGACAACTATTTGTGTGACCCACACACAGTTGTTTCGCATCCCGGTGATGTCCACCTGAAATTTATGTTTGTAAAACGTCCTTACATGACAGGATAATTTTCTACTTTGTAAGGGTAACAAAAAAAAATCAATAAATAAAAACATTATTTTAAGATGTATTCGAGTGGCCGAGGCGTCAAGCGCGGATCTAGGGGGAGTGCCATTAGAATCTTGCTCCCATCCTACTCAAACCCAACAAAGAAATCTATTTTTTTAAGAAGTTTGATTACCTACTTTTGAAAACATATATTATAAATGAAAGATGCTTCGAAAGAATTTCTTTTTTAAGAGAGTAGAATTTATAGATTAGATTTTAATTTATTAGTGATGGTCTCTGAAAAATGTAACTCTAGCTACTAGATCAAGTTATTTTAAATGATTATAAAAGTGCATTACTTATAAGAGCCGAATAAAATATACTATAGAATTAAAAATCGAAAACAAATAATAGCCGAATAAAATATATTATTCGGCTATTCATTGTCTTATGTAGAACACTGTCGCGTGTGCCAATTTTCTCGCAGCTTGAGAACGGTTGTTGCAACAATTGCGAATAAAAAAGATCGAGTCGCGTCCGTGTCATTATGTTCATTGGCCGTTTGGCGCGTGGGCTCGAGAATCTTCGCGTCAACTGTCAAGTGACCGCTTGTTGAGCTCGTTAAAGCAGATTGGCGCGTTTGAGGCGAACCAATGGCAATAGTCGCGCACGGTAAATAGAAGGTAATGTAATGATGCTCATTGAATCCTCTTCTCGAAACGATTTTGTTTACGTCTCAAATAACATATCAATTTAAATCTAACGATAACGTTACACAATGCAAACTCTTAAAACTTTGGTTCCAGTTGCGTACAGAGAATGTTAGTGTTCTTTTGCATTGAACAAGATAAGTAGGGAAAGTAGTCGCCGTACCCAAAGGGCAAAAGTGAAACGGCTATTTTTGCATGTAAAGGTATTTAAATTATCTATACATTTTTAGGACACAACACATCTATGTTTTATCGTCGATTTTTTTAACGTAAACTGTCGGTATAAACAGTTTACATTCTATTGTTTAATAATATAAATATTTAAAAATAATACTTTTAGGACACATTTTTCCACAGGGTTCTCTTGTCCCAAACTAAGCAACGTTTGCACTATGGGTAACTGTATAAGCGACAAACATATTTTTTTTTTTTTAAATACACATTATGCATATATATTCATCACAGAATATTTTCCAATAGTGAGGGATCGAACCCACATCCTCTGAGTGCAAGAGGCAGCTTCACTACCCTCTACGCGAATCGGGTCATCACTATAATTTTAAAGATTCGGTCGCCATTAATGCACTATGATAAAAAACAAAATTAAACACGAAAAAAATGTAACTATGTTGTTCATGTAACAACAACATTTTAAAAGTTAAAAATACTTTAGTCGTCCGCAAAACTAAATCGAAACCACAGCGTTTTAATTACCTACTGTATCGAAGAGGGCTTTGCTACATTTAAAAAGGAACACTTCACTCACGATGTCCGGATTACCGCGCAGTCTCGCCATTGAGGCCATCGCTTCGTGGAAGCGTCCCCTCCTGGCCAGCCACGTGGGGCTCTCGGGTGACAGGCAGAGCACTACGAACGCCAGCACTGGCAGCACGATGCAGAGGAAGGAAACAGAGCGCCAAGGCAACGCGCCCCCCAGTGCATACACGTACAGCACGCCCAACGAATACGCCACGAAAGGCGTCCCAATCAGAAGACCACGGAGACGGGGCTCCGATATCTCCCCCAAGTAGACCTGCAATCACACAAACCGTCAGTTTCTACTTTGTATAAATGTACCTACCAGGGCAAACAGAAAACTTTATAAATTAAATATGTGTTTGTAAATAGATGGAGACAAACGGCGACAAACGAAGAGATTTTCCTATTCTTTTCTTGTTTAGAAGATAAATATTGGCAAGTTTTAGTCACATATATAAATAGATAATTCCTTTCTTATAGTACTTAACTATATTGTATTGTAGGTATGTACAAAATAGTATACATAAGAGTAGAAAATTTCGGTAAATTGACACATACAGATATCTTCAAAAACTTCATCTTATTGAATTTCAAATTTTCAATATTAATACTAGTATTGAAAATTTCATACGAATGCCAAATTATAATTATAATAGTTTAATAGATGAATGAATTCGAACCTGAGATGGAGCTGCCATTAGGCCGACAGCGAAACCGCATACAATTCTCCCGAGCAGTAGCAGAGCGTGATTGACGGAGGTGCCGATGAGGATCCAGCCTAGGACTAGGGGTAAAGTGGACACCTGTAAAGTGCGCCGTCGACCTATAGCCTCCATGACAGGGCCTGATAGCATTGAGCCCAGCGGAGTCGCCGCAGAGTGTATACTGGCTGTAAAAAAATTGAAATTTAAAAATTAAAAATCGTAAAAATAAAATCTTTTCTTTAACGTAGTAACACTTGCAGCAACTTGTGGTGATTATTAGTGGCAGCAACTTGTAGTGATTATTTAGTGGCGGCGAATTTGGAAATCTGCATATTTTCCTATCGTGATATATTAAGGTTTCAGATTTCAATATATATATATATATATATATATTAGTAGGTAGGTTTTGCGTTAAATTAGGCCGTTCCTGTATCTGAAATATTACTTCCTTTAATGTAAATAATAACGATTCTTTAATATTTATTTCGATTCAGGTTACAACTACCTTGTAGCGAGCGTAATGACACCATTAACATTTAACGTAATGACACCATTAAAATTTATTCAAATTCATTTTCTATGAGATATCACTCAAAATTAAGAATATGTTTTTACGCGACAATTCGATTCTCAATAGAATAGCTCCGTTTTCGCTCGTTTACAAAACTAACGTCATCGCATAATCAAATGGCAGAGTCGAATTTATTCAAATGAACATTAAGTCATTAATTAATAGTTTGCGTGTTTGAAAACATTTTCATTAAGCATTATATAATAACTCATTTCAGTTGAAACATTAAACTGTTGCGTGTTCGAAGCATTTTGAAGATCTATCAAGACAGCACGTATTGTCATTAATTGAAGTTGTTTTGTCACAAAATAAAATGGTGTCGCATTTATGATAATTAATTTTCTTCATTACCTAGCATAAACATCTATGCAAAGCTTATGTATTATGATTAAATATATAACGATAATTTGACATTTAGTTAAGTGTTACGAATATGCTATGGAAATAAATGTATTATACTACAGGTATATATTATTCATAATAAAACAGTGAACGTGTAAATCCGCTATTTATTCGCTAAATAGGCAGTCATATAGCCTCTAAATTATTTTAAGAATAAATTTTTATCTGTTAGTGTTCTGTTTAAGAAGTTTCGCGGATAAAAGCAAAATAAAAGTGGCCACTTATATAAACAATATTTAAAAAGTACCACAAAGTATTACAACATTTTATATCGACCTCTGACTGTAGAATGCAATTTGTTTCATGTGACTGTGAATAGTTTTTACACTGTGGCACCGTTTTAAAAATTGTTTGTCAACATTAACATGGATTTAACTTTTTTTGATTCTCTACGATTTTACGTGTAATTTGACAGTTCCGCAAAACCTCGCACGGCTTCCTCTGATTTGGCGATGAAGCACCATGCCAGACGACTATTTATAACTAGCTTGCGCGACCGCGTTTGAGGAATTCAAACGCGGTCGCGAAAGCTATGTCAATCTCAGTGTCGAATCTCGTCGTTGTCCATTCATCGCTGTGAACAACAAAAACATCGATACTGGGCGCCGTATGATCGAAACAGAACGTCATGTGACCTACCATGAGAGTCGGGCATCCTTAGACATAGGCATGAGTCAAATAAAATCAATCCTACAAAACGTTTGAGTGTGAGAAAGCTATGCTCGCAATGCATCCCACACAATTTGGCCGAGACCAACCAACCAAAGCCGAAACCAACCAAACAACACGTGGGTACTGTTGCTTTAGAGAATCGTCGTACCGTGAATAGTGACCGGTACACGACCATTTGTTCGCCGGTAATTATTGACGAAATGCGTAAAAATAACCGTAAACGCTGTATCATCTTGCACCACGTAAATACTAGTTCCCACAGGGCCAGCCAGAAAAACGAATTTTCGAAGGTGAAAAACGTAGAACTCTTGAGCCATCCTGCATACAGTCCCGACCTGGCACCTTGTAACTTTTTTGTTCCCAAATTAAGGACCAATTATGCGGTCAACGATTTTCATCGCCAGAAGAGGCTGTCGAAGAGTATGAAATACACGTTTATGAGGTCACCACGGAGGAGTGGCACAAATGTTTTGTGCCACTCCTCCGTGGACAATGTGCACAAGTTTTGAGAAAAAATTAATTAATTTTTTTTTCTACATATTTTAATTTTCTACATATTTTAAAAAATTAATTCTGAAATTTTGAAAAAATACATTTTTGGCCTTTACTATTGTTGTATTCCAGAAACTTTTATTGCGCCCCACGTACCAGAAAATCACAACTTAACTTATGAACTACAACTGTAAATACATATTCACCAAACCATGTCAAACTTTTAAAGTTATTGGCAATGTGAATGATGATGAGTATTACAATAGGGTTTACTAAAAGCTCTGCATATTACGAACTCAAAGATACGTAAGAGGTAAACTGCTTTAATACATGAGATATTATGTATCAATGAACGGACAAAACGTGACTTTTTCACCCACAGTTTATCATAGCGACAAAGCCACGGCTACTTGCACAGCCCGGCCCCTGTCGAGGAACCGACTCTGGGCCGTTCTGTGGAGTAAGTCGAGAAAGCCGTTCCAAGTGGGCTCATTGAGCCCACTTTGGACAGGTGCTGGAACAGGTGCTAGAGCATGAGCTACTCTCCCTTCTTTTTCAACCTGTGACTCGTGGAGGAAGATTAGTATCGGTATTTCGTTCAGCCGTTCTCCCAATCCTCCACGGCCGGAACGTGGTGTTCGCCGGAGCCACAGATCAGCAACTCGGGGCTGGCAGGCTTGCAGATTGTCAGCAATGGCTGTTCTGGCTCACATCTCTGGTCAGCGATCCCGGGGGAGTTTGTTGGCAATGTAAAAAGGGGTGTGTAGAAAGGCGCGCTGAATGTTCCAACGTGTCTTACTTGGAGGAGAGAGTTGCTCCCCGATTAGTCGATGTTGAAGCAGCCATCACTGGCTGGATTGCGGATGTGTGCAAGGCGTTTTCGTAGTCGTTTCGGTATCCGCACTTGGTGGAACATCGTATTAGTCGAGTATTAGTCTGGGGTATATAGTCGGTGCGTATCCGGCGTAAACCGTCCTTGCCAGAGGCGGATTAAACATTGAGAGCGCTGTAGGCAAGCATTTCATCGGCGCCCCTATATTAAAGCTGTAAGGCACGACTGCCATGTAAACCCCAAAATCATGAAGTTCCCTGTATAATAATTTCGTTCACAAGTCGCGATCGACGTGACGTGCTTTATAGTCGTATCTTTCCTACTTCAATCAGAGATCATGTACCATTGATAAGATTATTTGTAGGCGCAAGTTTTAGTCAGTCCCGTAAAGTTTATCTTTTGTTATAATTGAAGCAAATTGAGGCTCTAAGTAAAACTATTAGTTTTTATTGTGTAAATAGGTGGCTTAATTACTGGCGCAATTAATTTTATGCTATATTATATATTTTTCTTTATTTCACAACTCCGCCCGCGCGCCCCTTTGTATCCTCGCGCCCCTAGGCACATGCCTAGTTTGCCTTAAGGATAATCCGCCTCTGGTCCTTGCCCCCGCGATGGCGAACTGAATACTGGAATCTGTATGACTCAAAGTAATATAAAAAGACTATAATAGTTTGCTATTATAGTCTTTTATTTATATTATGTATTGATTTAAAACAGATTGATTCTTTAATATGGAGATATTTTTACGCGGCTTATAATCAAAGCTCATCATATACCCACCGTGAGTTCTCAAGAGTAGATAATAATACTATAGAAATAGCAATAGACCGGACAATAGACAATAAAGTTAGTTCAATAGTATTAGATATACCAACCGCAAATTCTCAAAAATAATTAATGCCATAGACCGAACACGGCTATTTAATTGTTTTAATTTCGAAGCCAAATTATTCTTAATTATAACTTAATTAATTCTTAATTGAAAAAAAAATTTCTCGTAATAATACAGAATTATAAGGTTTAAGTAACACTGGCACAAAAAACTCAAATTATAGCTAAGAGCCATCTCGATTACGTCAGCTTAAAAATTATTGGACCATAATCAGTCAATTGGTTTAGAAGCTACTAGCGACCCACCGACCCGGCTTCCCATGGGTGCAATGTATTATACCTAATAAACCTTCTGTTGAATATCTCTATCTATTATAAGAAACGCATCAAGATCCGTTGCGTAGTTTTAAATATCTAAGCATACATAGGGACAGACAGACAGCGGGACGATTTTCTTTTATACTTTGTAGTGAATTGATGACACAGCAGACATTAAGACACTTCAAACTTATAACGACACTCTTTTTACGTTGGGATTTAAAATGTAAAACTTCAAACATTAAAGCTAAGCGTAAATAAGGTTTCAATTAAATTCGGTCTGTCCGTCTGTCACCAGGCTGTATCTCATGAACCGTGATCGTTAGGCAATTGAAATTTTCACAGATTATGTATTTCAGTAACAGAATAAAAATTATTTAAGTGGGGCTTCCATATAGCAGAAATGAAGTCCGACTCGCACTTGGCCGTTTTTTTTAAACGTAATTTTGATTGATTTATAATCGGCATGCTGGAGTAATATAATATCTGAGTAATGTTTTCTGATAGGTATTTAATGAAATTTACGACTTTTTAGTACACACTATATTTTTGACATTTGGTGCCAAAGCTAGCTTCCCAGTTTCCATTGATGGTATGTTATGTGTTTAAATAAAATCAACAATTTATACTTCATTTGAATATATTATTCATTTAAACAATTACAATTTATTGTTTCAGAACGAAAGATGTGACAAAAGTTGAAGATAAATTTAAACAAACAGACATCGACACTGCCAGACTTGTTTACTTTAGTTATTTTCACAGCATCTTATCGTACGGCATTTTGTTGTGGGGTTGTGCATCTGACATAAATTCTATATTTATTTTCAAAAAAGAGCTGTCCGAGCAATCTATAATATCGGAGCTCGGAATGCACTCTGAGATCTTTTTAAAGAGATTAATATACTCACTGTTGCGTCCCAATATATTTATTGTAATATTTTGTATGTTAGAAATAATCTTAATTGTTACCTAAAGAATAGTGATAGACATAAATTAAATACTAGAAATAAGGGCAAATTAATTACGCCATCGTCTACAAAAAGTTAATAGATCGTTCATGGGGCAAAGTGTGCGCATGTATAATAAAATGCCACAGTCGATATTAAGTCTGCCTCTAGATCAATTTAAACGCAAAATTAAAAGTAAACTTATGGCTATGGCGTATTATACCATTGCAGAATATCTTGACCACGCCAATGTGTGGGGTTAATACTGTTGATACTCACGTAAGCTAAAGTAAGATTTATACATATCCTATTATATTGTAAACTAATCGTTTTAAAAAAGAGCCACTGTTGAGTTTCTTGCCGGTTTCTTCTCAACCGAAACTGCTTTCTGAACCGGTGGTAGCTTACTTACAAGCGTATTCATTTTTTATGTAAAATGTTGACGTTTTATAAGAACGCACAAGCGTCTATGTGAATAAATATATTTTTGAAAGAAAAAGACTGTGAAAATTTTCCTTTATGAACATTCCAAACAAAGTTATATTAAATATGGTCTTAGAAATATGTATGTATAAATTGTTATCTTAAACATATCTACTGCCCTTTTAAACGACGGATGCTAATTGGAAGCTTTAAATGGTTCTGTGATGACGAAAGTATCATTAGTTGCGTCGAGAAACATTTTCATAACAAAACCCTTGTTAGTTTACAAAGAGGCTATATAGCAGTAGGTACGTTATATAATTCATGCAGCTATAAATTCTATTTCGTTTACTATAAATGTCCAGAGTCAAGGCAATTGCACAGAGCAGAACTATATTAGTGTAAGTTTCAGTTCCAGTACCAGTAATAAAGACTTTGTTTGGGTGTATTCACAATGGTTAGATAATGTATTACTTAAATACGTTTAGTAGCATTAAGTTGTTGTACGCAATAAGAAAATATGAGCAATATCTTAAAAAAGGAACTTTCAAATTTTCAAATATTTCGAAGACGAATTATCGCATAAAACTATGTTACATATGGAACGCTGACATTGCATTTTGCCTTGAATATTATTTTAAAATGTGTCTAATGAGAGTATTTTTAGCTTTTTGGTCTTTTAAAAATACTCGCGACCAAAAAATAAACTGAAACGGTACCGAATAATTTGTTCGTAATATGTTTTGATTCTTTCGGACCGCGATTACATAATTTCAGCCTGTTTTGCACTTATGCACGGAGCATAATTTATTTGTTGTGCTCGATTGGAGATTGGAACATATTTATGTAGGTAGATAAAATAATAATGGAACAATTGTTTTGGGATTAAAATTTTAATGGCCGATCGGCAAGTTGTTGGATTTTTTTGTACTTAGTTATAGTTAATATGACGTATGTCATGTCAGTTTGAATTATGGAGATTATGATAGTATATTGTTTAACATGGGCTTAAGGACGTAAGGAGTAGGTTAATACTCCCCAAACTTGGCCGTTACATGTATCCACTAGAAATCGCTCCAAAAATCGAAATACGAAATTATTCTCATCGTTTTGTCCAAATATCACATAAATATGTGCCATACATATATTTGCCTCAAGCATCGAATATCGCGACGCTACTTAAATTCGATATAACATATATCCAGGAGTAGAGTAAAAGTAGGTGGAAGTTTTTACTTTTTACTATCAACACTTTGTCATTACTACTATTATTACGTAAGTCTGTTCGGGTCAAATTTTGTAACGATTAAAAATCAACATCTCGATACATGACATGCTTTATTGAGATTTAAAACTATCTATACGGGCTCAAAACCTCTCAAAATATTGTCCTGAATGTTGTAATTTTGAACTTTTTTATTATCAAAATATGTATTTATAAATTTAAAAACTACAAACGTGTAGGTCTTAATAATTCAACAATATTTCAGCTTCTCAATAAATATTATCAATTTATTAAAATTTTTGTTGTCAGTTTTGTATAAAATAATAACTATAGTACTTTAATTAATTGCAAAGACACGGTATGAATGAAACATTTGCAAGCCGAAATTTTGTTTTCCCTAATCTTTGTACCTTAAACGGATGATGATGAGATGGAACAGGAAAATCCTCGTCCAAAATTTAGTCAAGTACAAACGCAGTACTGTTTTTTCTTGAATCACCAACCGGAATGTGAGGACATCTAATATTAGGCGATTTAATGGGTTAGCAACGTTGCCGTTAACAGTCTATGTATATTATTTTGCGTCGTACGCGATGTGAATGCTGTGATAGTCGATTAGTCGGTGACGAAAATCTAAATTGGGGCCAGGCCAAACCGAGTGATCATGTAGTGCTTATGACTTAGATAGAACTTTGTTTCAATAGATCTTTGTTTAGATATTTATGCTCGTATAATTTGCATATTTTTTTGGTAAAAAATTCCATTAGTTTCCGGGTATTTTCGACCAAACAAAAATTTATTCGGTAAAGAAAAATCACTAATGAAATAATCAAAAAGCAGAATTTGAGGAATTAAAAAATATACCGATGAGTTCACGACCACTTTTCTTTTTTTAAAATCAGTATAAAAGGAGTCGTACATAAAAGAAGGTATTTATTTCCATTAGTTTCCAGGTGTTTTACGACGTAAAAAAATTTTATTCGGTAAAGAAAAATCACAAATGAAATACTCAACAAGCAGAATTTGGCGGCCGCTTATAGTTTTCGAGTCCTTTTGTACTGATTTTAACTCCTTTAGTACTGATTTTAGCGGTTTAGTTTTACTAGATAGAGTGATTCAAGAGGAAGGTTTATATCTATAATACATTGCACCCGTGCGAAGCGGATTGCTAGTGTTTGATAAAGGACCGGTCAAAAGTCGGACTTACCGATCCAAGAGCCCATCTCTTCGTCTATCCTCATAGTGGAGTTTTCAGTCTGCAGTTGCGGCAGTGCCACGGCTGAAAACCCTATCGGGTGACCAGCAGCGGCGGCCAGCACTAGCACTGCACACGTGATGAGGCACTACGAGAAAACAACAAAATTGTCATTTATTTTTTATGAAATAATTATAGACAGTGCAAAAACGTTAAGTTAAAATTCAGTAAAGCTTTTCCTAAGTTTCGTACGAGTCTGTTCAGCCGGTTACATTCATGCGTGAATAAAACTTTCGTTTTTATAAACAATGTTAACTAAACTTAAATGTGTAACAAATTCCTGTTGGAATGATGGTCTTATATTATTTTTTTTTTGCTGGTTCTTCATATGTTGGATGACAAGAAGAAAGATTAAAATGATGGTATAAAAGAAGTTTCAAAAAACTAGTTAAGAGTCAGACAGTCTTTGCATAGGATCTAATGGCGGCTTGAACTGTTCTAAACTGCATGAGGATGTGGGGAGTAACCTCTGTCTACTAATATGTGAACAAACACTAACGTTGCAGTAAAAAACGAGAAACGCATAAAGCGAGACGATAATATTTTACGACCTCTGCAATTACTGTGTAATGCGTGGAATGTACAAGTTATATACCTACATGAAAATTTTAAGAAAGCAAAAAAAAAAATATTTTAAAGTTTGTTACTATAATAAAATATATACCACTTAAATCGATTATTAAAGATCTGACTTTGAATTGATGGATTAGATATGTTCTCTTTAACACCCTCGTATTTGGTTTTCTGTTGTACGTATATTTTCATATCAGACATAAAATCTTCTCTTCAAAACTCCGCTTCCTAAAAACTGTTAAATAAATTAAATTCGATGTCAACCATTATAATTAAAAAAATATAACAGATCAGGTTTTTGATCTTTGTTGCTAGTCGGTTTAAATGTTTATTGCCTTTGCCTTTTATTGAATGAATTAATAACTCTTAGAAAAGCTAAATATTTTATTGTTGTAACAATATTTAAGTCCTGGACTGGCAAAGGACAAGCGCCCATTCTTGTTTGACCTGTCATAGCTAGGAATGGGCACGTGTCCTTTTAGTATTATTATTTATATTTTTAAAATAAACATAATAATTGTTTATAAAGTTACCAGACCTTGGATAGATTTATAAGCATGATCTTTCTTCTTCCATTTTTCTATCTAGGTGGGTGCGGTACAACAAGTGAATCATGTTGTTATCGGTATTTAATACGACCGGCCTACTGTCTAACGTCAACCACCTTAGGACTCAGGTCCGCAAGAATTATCTATAGATAACACAATTTATTATGATTCCGTGTTGGAATCGAACCCCCCCGTGTTGGAATGACCCCGGCGTAGGAGCCAATGGCTTAGAAACTGCGTCATCGAGTCATCTATAAGTTAATGTTATATGGAGAATGTATTGTTTAATGGCACAATGAAAATTGATTTAGTTCCTAAATAAATCTTCATCGCGCAACTATTCATCGTTCCAGCCAACGACTTCGTACTTCGAATAGCCCTGAGATATTAATTATCATGCCTGAGCGAATGAATTAAGAAAAACGATAAAATCATTGTTTACAAAAGAAAAACGCAATAAGCAGAAATTATTTAACGCTGTGTTCCGATTTGCGTATTACAGATGTTTAGGCACAGCTTAAACTTATCAATCATAAGGTAAGAAATTACGGTCTATATATGTCCCTTTGTTGGGCAAAAGCCTGTACAGGGGGTATAAAGGCATAGTCCACCACGCAACTACACTGCGGATTGGCAGACTTCGCACATCATCGATTTTTATTATTGAATTATAATGTAACAATTTTAAAGTTCATCCGAGCGTTGTAACTTTATGGTGAGGGGTATGAATGTCGTGTGTTGAATTTCTCGCCGGCCGCCACACGAGTTGCGAAGTGGATTGCCAGTCATAATGGTTGATTGGAGTCGGATTACGACCGCCTCATTAGTGAATGGCACTATTCTCTTCCTCGACATTAATCGCTGGGTAAATGATTTCTGGAATTACACTGTCAATCTGACGTCGTCACAAGCATTGAAAACTAAGGTAATATGTTACCATTAAAACAATAATTAAGTATATTCCCCCAATACTGGAAAAATATTGTGTGATGAGCATAGTGTTTTTCTAGTGTCTGGGTGTTTATATATGTATAATGTGTATTTATTTATATAAGAAAAGTATGTTTAAGTATGTCTATTAGTTTTTTAGTACCCGTAGTACAAGCGTTGCTTAGTTTGCGACTAGAGAATGTTGTGTAAAAAGAATGTGTCCTAAAATCTCATTATTATTTTCATGGTAAGAAAGTAAAATCATATTAATCGTATTAATATTTGTGTTCGCAACAAAGTGACAATTATTTCATAACTGGGCTACTGTGTTATGATAACATTACTTATTATCTTTTTAGAAATTCATTGACATGAATCAGAGCTAAATTACATTCTGAGTGTCACCCAATTAAATTTTTCTGATGATTACTAAAAGGAAAAGAGCTAACAGACTATTAAGTAAAGTTATACAGATTGAAGTGGAGCTAAAAATAACAACGCTTGTTTTAGCGACCCAACGGATTAAAAACCTTGTGACGGTCAAGAGTGTCTCGTTTACAAAAACAACTTTGGTAAAAAAAAATGTCTCATTCAACGGAACAAAAACTGTTTACGAGTAATATAATTTGAGGAAACAATATTTCCATATATATTGGATAAATAGTATATGTATAATTTTTACGAATAATATTTACAATATTTGTACTAAGTAAATTGCATGATATACAACAAACCTAGTCATGGTGCGACATCAAACGCGACATGGTGCCAAGAACGCTAGCTGCATTTCCACGCGGAATGCTCAACCATAAGCGAGAAAAGTACTAGCTCTCGTCACCAGCCACAGCCGAAGTCAAGGGCGTAAGCGTCAAAAATTTTGATGTGCGTGGAATTTTTTTATAATGAATTCAATGAAATTCTTATTACCGAGGAAAAGAATAACGTGTTAAATACGATTCATCAAGACAAAGTTTTCATATAAGGATCACGGTTTTTCTGATCGGTCAAGTTTGCTACATTACATAAGCGATAAGAGGACGTTGAAGTAACACAATCAATGTTATCAATATTGATATGATAAAAAGGAGCGTCTGACGTCTGGCTGACTTCGTCTGAAATCGTTAATAAAACCATCTATCGATGTTCTTTCTTTCCAAGAGAAACTGGCAAGGGGGCAGGCGACACTTGATGTCAAGTGAATACTACTCTTGGATTACGATGCCTGTGGGAATGTGGAAGCGTTTTCTAGTATTTTCATATATTTTTTTGGCTATCTCGGAACCAATAACAAATTTAACGTTTGATTTCGGGATCAAATTACTGATTACAAAAAAAAAATGGTGAAGTGAGTGTATCTGTCCAGAATAGCATAGCATTTTCAGTAATAGTATTAGCATAAAATTTGTATGGATGCAAAGCTTTCATAATAACCTTAAAAAAAGAAGATTCATTGATGGAGAAAGTATGAAAAATGGAATAATTATGTTAGTGTTACTATTAAGGGCATTTAGTAAAAAGGTATGTAAGCAGCGATTGCCTGCTCAGTCGACACTCGAACTGATGACGCGATTTCAAATGAATGACTCCGTTTTTCAGGTTATTTACCTGCTAATACCACTTCTCTAATTCCGTGACCGTTTTACGATGACCATTATTTGACATTATCTCTGTCTACTTTGTTAGGTATAATGTAAAAGGTTATTAATAACAAATAGTATGTAAAAACGTAATAACCATTATAAGCAATAAGTGCCACATATTACGGTGCGCAATGTTGCTTATATATGCTATTAAGTTAATGGTCCAAGAGCCCAGGGCCGCCAGACGTTACTTATTTTCTGAGTAACAAAATATATCGTACAGAGTAGTGTTAGAGTATACTCCAAAGGTATACATACCGGCCAATTCACAGATACCAGGTACTAAAGATACATAAAAACATCTCTCGCTTTTCTTAAATTCGGAGTGCTGATTTTTATATATATTTTACAAATATTTATTGGAAATTTAAAATCAATATTGACAGACAGTCTTCGCCGGAGGTAATTACCGCCAGATGCTTTAAAGTTTGCGAAACAATACCGTAAGTTTACTTACAGTCTGAGTCTTGATTTATACATAAATGATATTTTAGAAACTATTTCAACATTATTTGCATGCAGCCAGACAAATTGTAGGGGCCAAACATGTTTAAAATCTTGCCGTGAGTATGATCGCGCACATAATGTTTTCGCGGTTTTATATCACAGGCCCATTAAATTTGTTTTATTTCACTCTTGTAAAATTTCTGAATAATGATTAAACCATAAAACCAGCCCAAGCTAGCAGGTATGTATACCTTCAGAGTATAATGTAACACTACTCTGTACGATATATTTTATTACTCAGAAAATAAGTAACGTTTGGCGGCCCTGGGCTCTTGCTCTAAAACTAATACTTTCATTTATTGTGACTTACGTTAAACTAGTATCATGATTTACATTTATCATATCGAGTGCCTACTTGACATATCACCATATTCACTCGACGGAGCTTAGTCAGAAATTTAATGGTTATTACATTTTTATAAGTAAGGTTAAAAAATAAATATAAAAAATGTCGGTTAAGGTCATAATCGTAAAAAATGAAATTAAAACATTATTCTGAAACTGCAGATTCGAACGGAATTGCATATTGGAATGCTTTAGTGCAAATAACGAGGTCTGTGGTCTTTACAAAAGTTTATTTGGTAATATTAGGCGTGATAATTGAGCGACTTGATAATATTAATTCACTACTCAATAAGTAGCTTGATAAATGTTATTGTAGAAGCCAACCGAAGACCACGCTGTTTGCCTCACATTCATAGCGTGGTTGCATTTACGTTGCCAAATTGCGATACATTAAAATAAAGGAAAACGAAAGTACATTAAATACCAAATGACACACTATATAACTAAGATTAACACAAGGCAGGTATTCTATCTAAAAAAATATTGATAAACGCTATTAATACTTATTTCCGGATAAAATAAAATTTTGTGATCTTAAAATAAAA